CTCCGACTCCAGCATCGGCAGTTCCTACTATCTCTATTGAGAAAGTGACATTTGCAGCTAACAAGATCCTTAACAAGCAATGATCCCATTTGAAATGTGGGTCATCACTACTTCGCGAGAATCTCACTTCGACACCGAGAACCTAGTTAAAAGATGCAGCAAGTTGTTCCCAATATCCAAGATGGCCTTTGTTGGATTTCTCGCCATGGCCAATATTGCTCAAGTTTCTACGAGATTCCACCCATTGAATAGCACAGCAGACTTCAGGGCTCATACTGCCTTGACCCAACTCTTATTAGCTTTTCCTGAGTCTGGAAAGAAGAAGCATTTTTAGTACAATGACTGGTGATGGATTCAAAGTTGTATATCACCAGATTTCACTTGATAACATGTGATTATTGCTCAGTTTGAAAGAGACTTTCAAAAGGACTTGCAATAAGGTTACTAGGAGTTTCTACCAACAGATTAGGCTGTGAATATGAAATAATTATTCAACTCATTCCAACAACATTGCAACAATTTATATTGATATAGCACCTTTAAGTTAAATGTCCCAAGGTTCTTCACAGGACTATCAAACAGAATTTGCCACAGAGTTACAGATATGGAGATATTAGGGCAGGTGACCAGAAGTTGCTAGAGATAGCTTTTAAGGAGAGCCTTAAAGGAGATGAGAGAGCTAGGGTAGAATTCAAGATCTGAAGACATGGCCACCACTGATACAGTAAATAAAGAAAATAGAAGATAGGGCGGCATGGTGGCACAGCGGTTAGCATGGCTGCCTCACAGTGCCAGGGACCCAGGTTCGTTTCCACCCTCAGGTGACTGCCTGTGTGGAGTTTGCATATTGTCCCCATGTCTGTGTGGGTTTCCTCCCACAGTCCAAAGATGAGGTGGATGGCCATGCTAAATTGCCCATACAGTGTGGCTAGCTAGATTAGCCATGGGAAATGCAGGCTTAAAGGGACTGGGTAGGGGGATGGGATACTCTTTGGAGAGTCAGTGTGGACTTGATGGGCCAAACGGCCTGCTTCCACGCTGTAGAGATTCTATGATTAGACCAGTAATCAAATACTATCTGGACCAAGACAGAAACTATAATTAAAAATAAAACCAGTGGTGAGGCAAGAGGCCAGAATTTGAGAGTGCAGCAATCCAAGGGGTTAGGATGAGAGGAGATCACAGGGATTGGAACACAAGAAGGAAAATTTTTACAATCGAGGCATTACATAATAATGTAGATCACCAAGTACCAATGTGTGCCACTGATAATTCTGTTGGGTGTGCAGAACACATTGGCTATAGCCTGTGGCTTTTTCACATTTCACAGCAATACCACTTGTGTGTACATTCCTGCACGTAACTGAAAAATATATCATTTGCAGAACACACCAACTATAACATATATCAGTATATTTTTACAATCATCCATCTGTACATGTGCACTTCAGTTTAAATGATCTTAGTTCTGTCTACCGATGTCACAAGCCAATTTTGTTTCAGTTCCCTCACCCACACTAACAATGCAACTTTCTGATTTATGACAACTTGTAAAAGCTTTCCCAACAATTTATCATTTTGTTCTAAGCGGGGAGACAGTTCCATCTTTTACAGTTTTTCTTAAAAAAAAAACTAACACCATAATCTCCACAGTGGAGAGTGCACAGAATAGCAAATCGTACCTTCCTCAAGTATAAAGGACACAAGAAAAGAACAGGAGCTGCACGTCTCCACTATGCACTCCACAACTCACTTCCCTACAGGCAACCCGCCACAAAATTCTGGCTGAGCAGGAGTGAAACCAAACTGCCACAAGACTGCAGCAACTATCACTTACAGAGCCCTGATGAAGCAACGCTAAACGACGAACATGTTAGCATGTATTTACCCAGATTATCCAAGGTCTTATGAACGCTGGCTTCTTTTTCAATACCCTACCAGTGCATTGACTGCTCCAGGCTGCAGCTCAGCAGTCACAGTGATTATAGCGTGTGCACAGAGAGTGTTAGTGTGTAGCCACAAGTACTCAATATTAAAATGATGATGTATTTCCTCCAGCATGAATCTCTCTTTCCTGTTGATCTCTTTGTGATGACAACAACATGTAGTACACAGATGGGTTTCTTTTTAAAGTTTAAAGTGAAACCGAAGCAAGCTCCTGAGTATTCTGGGCACAAGGAAGGCAAAGTCATCTTGGATCTTCCGTGTTTAGCTGAATAATTCTGGGGGAGGGGAAATAATGTACGTTTGGCAAATTCAAAGCATTTCTAAGTGTTTTATAGCTGCTGAAGTCCATTTTAGAAAAACACAGTCAATATTGCAATGTAGGAAATGAGGCAACTGCATTGCCTGCACTGAGATCTCATGATCAGTGTCGAAAACATGATCAGGTAACGTGCTTCGGTGACACTGGTCGAGCAACAAATATTGACCAGGAGACTGGGGAGAACTCTCCACTTCTCTTCAAAATACGACCACGGGTTCTTTTATGCTCACCCGAGAGGGTTTTAATATCTCACTCAAAGATGGCATCTCAGACAATGTCGTGCTCAGTTGCGCTGAAGTGTCAACCCTGGGTTTTGGAGCAAGTCTTGAGTGGGATCGAAGCCACAGCCTCCTGGTGAGCTGTAAAGCACAGCTATGAATGACCATTACTCCAGAGCTTTTACTGAGTCAGCACTTTTGCCATCTATCACCTTCAGTTTTGGTTCATCCATTGCACGCACACAAAAACAAGAGGAGGAGAAGGAAATTCTTATGGTTATTTTTGATATAAAAAGGTTTGGATATAGGGAGAAATAGAGAGCTGTCATCTGCAGCTGCCACATGGTGCCAGCTCCAGGTGTTAAAGTTGTCCCTGTTGAACTGAGAACCCAGATTTGAAAATCCCAGTTGGAATCCCTGCAGTGTGCACAATAAGCTTCTTAAAAAGCAGAACCAGTTGCTGTGCTCTCACAGCAGTACGAGCCTTGCAAGCCTTCTTTTTTTTTACTGATTTATTACTGTCACATGTACCTAGGTACTGTGAAAAGTTGTTTTGCGTGCAGTCCAGGCAGATTACAACATATAAAGATCATAGGGTTATAGAATGGAGTGAGTAATACAAAGTTACAGCTGTAAAGAAGGTGCGCAAAAAGCAGGATCAACATTAGACTTGAAACTTGTGAAGTCCATTCAGAAGTCTAACGACAGTGAGGAAGAAGCTGTTCTTAAATCTTTTAGTATCTTTTGCCTGACGGAAGAGGTTGGAAGAGATTACGACCAGGCTGGGAGGGATCTTTGATGATGCAGGCTGCCTTTCTGAGGCAGCGAGAAGTGTAGATGGAGTGAATGGGCGGAAGGTTGCTCGGAACCAAACTGGGAAACTCACACGCTAGGCAGTGCTAGAATCTTTGGGGTTGTGTATATTTCTGTTTCCATCATTGATGGTGCCTAAAAAATTCAGCCCAAGAACATAGCCTAGTATGGCACAGGAGGAGGTCGGTCTGCTCCTTCTGCCAGCACTGCCCTCAGAAGCTGAATACAACAACTTTTCGTACAATTTGAAAAAAAAAAGACCTGAATTCTTATAATGCCTTTTGCCACCTTCAGACATCCTATAACGTGTGGCTTTTGAAGTTTGGTGCCTGTTGTAATTTAGGAAACACAGCGGCCAATTTGTGCAAACTCCCACGATTTTAGCAATTTGAAAATAAGCAGATAACCTGTTTTAGTGGGGTTGATTAAGAGACAAATAGCAGCCAGAACATAGAAACATAGAAAATGGACCATTTATTGTCCACTTAAGCTCAAGTGGGCAGTCTAATGTCTTAGGTGCCCACCGTAGTATAGCTGTTCTACTGTAGGTGGGTGTACAGAAAGTGAGCTTGCCTCCTGTTGAAATTTGCGAGTTTCCCTCCCTCATTTCACATTAGCTGTCGGGGATCTGTAAAATTCAGCCCATTGATTGGCTCAGTCTCTTCCATAGCCATTAGCAATTCAAATCAGAAATTGAGTGTCAGTGCTGTTCAGAGGCTTCCAGGCGGACACCTTCAGTCACCGTTTCTGGCTGTGTTACTTAAACAGTATTGGGCAATAAACTGTGTTTTCACAATGCATAGCTTCAACTGGTTAATCAAAAACATGATTTGGAAACCCTCCTGTACAGTCCTTTCGTCTTCATTCCAGGTTGCAATTATCCAAGTATATTTCTTTAGCATTTGTTTCCCACCTTTCTCTTAATACACTGCTTAATGTGAAAGAACTTCTCAAGAAACTGAATTATCAGGGTCAGATGGCCTATCAAGATGCAGGCATTTAATGAGACGCTGCAATGCTGGCACTTAGTAATGACACGTTTAACAATTTGCTTCTTTTCCACTTTGTCCTCCGCTTATTTCCCACACTCATGATGACACTTGAACATAAGAAAATCCCCTGACTGTATCTGAATCACAGCTGACTTATTTCCTTTTCACTGTCTCCCAACCCCTACAAACTGGTCCGAACTTGTCATGACAAGGTAACTGATTAATACTTTTTTTTTAAACAAGTATTATCCCAGAGCTGAGGTAATGCACACTGTGCAATGTGTGTTCTTATGGCTCATTTCTAGCAGTAAACTTTGCAATCAATGGCCGATTGACTCAAACCCTTACATTACTGATGGATTGCAGACTGTTAACCATGTTGGAGTGGCAAATACAAAGACTGAAAATCAAAGCACTGGGTTTTTATTTTGTTACTGAGTTGTATGTTCCTGACTGGGTAGGCCCATTTTGGTATAAAGGGCCCTGTCAGAGACAGTTTTTGCTTCGAGGTCGTGGGGGCTGGAGAAGGGCTGTGTTCCTCTGACCCTGAAACAGATCACAGGCAGCTACGAAGCAGGCAAATGCCAGCATGGCCTGTTTGGAAGGACTGCCACACTTCTCTGAAATGTAGAAAAAACACTTCTCTAACAGTCTCTGGCATAGTCATGATGGGCCAAAAGGCCTCCTTGTGCACTTTAACATTTCTGAGTATCTGCAGTACAGCTCTCACCATTGGCATACTCCAGTTACATTTTATGTCATCTACAAGATTCACAGCAGCAACTTACCAAGGCTTCTTCAATAGCACCTCCCACAGCCCTGACCTTCAATTTCTAGGTGGTGAAGGGCAGCCATCACATTGAAACACCACTCCTTGCACTCCTTTGAGCCCCACACCATCCTGAATTGGTAATATGTCACTGTACCTTCGGTGTTGCAGGGTCAATAGCCTAGAACCCCCTCCCTAACAGCACAGTGGGTGTCCCTACATCCCAAGGACTGCAGTTTTTCAAGAAGGTGTTCTATCAATGCAATTAGGGAAAGGGCAATAAACGATTGTGACACCCAATATCCCATGAAAGAATGTAAGATTTCCCCTTTGATACAACTGAAAAGAAAAGAATCAATTTACCAACATTCCCTTCAGGAAGGCAGCGTAGGGGCGCTTGAGCAGCAAAAATTGGACAGGGAGGTAGGTATACCAGTAGATGATCTTGCCCCCATTCCTAAAATCACAGTCAACAACTTTCCTTAACTCCCAGCAACTCTTGACTGTGGGGCACTTTAACTACACCATTGCACAACAGAGAAAACATTCTCCTTAGCTTACTTTCAGTTCTGTCCCCGACTTATGGGACATTTTTCCACTACAGAGCAGGAGGTTGAGGGGTGACCTTACAGAAGTTTATAGAATCATGAGGGGTATACGTAAGGTGAATGGCAGGTGTATTTTCCCGAAGGTGGGGGATTTCAAGACGAGGGGGCATATTTTTAAAATGAGAGGAGAAAGGTACAAAAAAGACATGAGGGGCAAACTTTTTATACAGACAGTAGTTCGTGTGTAGAATGAAGTTCCAGAGTGAAGTGGTGGATGTTACAATATTTAAAGGACATTTGGGTAAGTACATGAATAAGAAAGGTTTGGATGGATATGGGCCAAACGCAGGCAGGTGGGACCAGTTCAGTTTGGGATTATGGTCGGCATGGACTGGTTGGACCGAAGGGTCTGTTTCTGTGCTGTATGACTCTATGTCTGCAGAGCAATTAACGATGTTACTTGTGGCATTGTTGCAATGTGGAAAACCATGCAGAAACGAGCAGGATAGACATGAATGGGTCACTGAAGGAGTCCCACCTTAATCTTTAAACTTCAATGTGTGCTTTGAAGTGATTGTGGCTATAAACCATCATGATGTCCCATTTTGAGAAAGTTGCAGCAACAGCGTCATTCCTAAGGCTGGAAAACCGCATTGCCCCACTAATCCCACCACTAAATAGGTCATTTTCCACATTGCAACAATGTCACAAGTAACATCATTAATTGCTCTGCAGATTCGGTGGGCCGAATGGCCTAATTTCTGCTCCTACGTCTTATGGTCTTATTATCAAGTGTTACAGGGAGAAAGCAGGAGAATGGGGTTGAGGAACTTATCAGCCATGATTGAATGGCAGAGCAGACTCAGTGGGCCGAATGGCCTAATTTCTGCTCCTGTGTCTTATGGTCTTAAAATTGTGCAGGGTTGCAGGCGGAAGGCGGGGGAAGGCTACATGGTAATTGCTCCTTTGAGGCACCAGTGGAGACACGGTGGGCTGAATAGCCTCAGTCTATGCTGTAACCAGTTTCTGTTGATTCCTCGATTCTCAGTTAATGAGCTTTTGGAAGTTGTTGTAAAAATCAGCAATCTACAGCTCAATGTAGGACCAAAAATCACAAAGGTACCACAACCTAAAGTGGGATGATTGCTAATGTGTTACTAATCACTGCTCCCTCTGTTGCAATACTGCAGCTGCTGCTTTCTGAATGTCACATTGTTATACACAGCGAGATTTTACTGCTCAGGTAGCTTTCGTCTCAGCAATCAAGCTGAATACCTGTGAACTCACTTGGAAAATGGGGGTACGTTGATATCAGCTGTGATTAGATCCCACATCCCCATCTCATGGCTGATTAAGTGCATGAAACTCACCATGTGGCCTCACACAAGACAGCCGACCCCCTGTGAA